ATCGTACAATCTCAATTTCACCTTTGTTCCATTGCGAATAGCTGTTCAGGGAGACAAAAATGTTACTTATGTCCAAACGGAACACCGTAATCGGTTGATATTGAATGATACAATATCGTGACTCGTTTCGCATCTCGCCGAAATCTCGCGTCTCGCGAAACCTCGCGTCTCGCTTCGCACCCCGTTCGTCGACGCGAGACAAGAAATTGATTCCAGGTCATATACTGCTAAGAAGTTTTCCCTTTATAGTCTACATAAAATCACTTAAAGGCCTATTATGCCTGAGAAATGCTTTTATCTTTATTCCTTAAAAGCTTTCTATTTTTGGTATACTTTTATAGCTCCAAAAAGTTACTCATTGGCTTATTACCTGAATCATTTTTCACCTGCTGCTTTTTTTGCAGTTTGTACAGTTGAAGTGATTTAGAATTTTGTATTAAAGTCAAAATACTACATTGTGTGCATTTTGCTACTTTTTTATGACGCATTATTTCACATCTATCGCGAATTTCTTTTGGTTACAAGCATCTAACTTCCTCAGAAGTCATTATATGAATATAATAAATTCATACTTGCCCTATCTAAACTAGTAAAAATTTATTCATTTCTGAAATCTCTTGGTACGGTATACTTCGACATTGCGAGATCCCCTGTTACAATATCGTGCATCGCTTCGTGTCTCATCGGAATGTCGCGTCTCGCCCGATTCTGAGTGGCCCGATATTCCATAATTATGGCATTACCTGCATTATTTTAGAAACTCATGCATGTTGTAAGTGCCTTTAAAATTTAATGGCGAATCTTAAAGCCGCAATTTTTGTATGACGATTTTTATACATATATTTCTGATGAAAAAGTAATACGTGTGTAATTGTCTTCTTATTTTCTTCATAGATCATTTAAGGGCCTCCGTGGCCGAATGATTTCAAATAACCACTTGCCCCTAACCGCTGTAGGTTCGACACATACACGGGGTGTCGAACTATTCATGCGAGGATCCCGGTCAGGGTCCAAATGTGCAATACCTATGCGCCTGCGCAGGTAATAGCTGTCTCGTGCGCACGTAATAGTATCACGTGGCCACGGAAAAGCTATCGTGTGCGCACGTAATAAATAAGAAAATTGTATGTCCCCTTTATGCCACCGTAGATACTACCTTGTTTTTGCTTAGAATATTTCTAGTGCCATAAATCATCTATAAAACTTTAAGCATTGAAAATAAACGTATCACAATTGATAACGATAAAAATTGACTTGCTGCATAAGTGTTTAGGTTCTGGATGCTGCACTTGTAGACATTTTCATTGTGACATGCAGAACAGGGATATTCTTTAAGTTAACATATGTCTCCTATGCAGAGGCAGGAAATTTTTGACTGACCGAAAGTGACCTTGAAACGGTATTATAAATACAGAAAACACAGATCAATGGCTGGTAGCCTGTATACAGATGAACATAATTATTACCTTTCAAGAATTTTATGGAAAAAATGTGAGACAAATGTGCTTCGAGTGTCCTTTCTATTGTGTGTCGAACACATCTGTCTCATTTCCAATTTGTCGCAAATATGAATGTTTACGAACACATCGGTCACACTTCGTGAGACAAATGTGCTCCGAGACAAATGTGCTCCTACACCGCTAGGCGGAGCATTATATGCCCGAAAGTGATTTTTTTAGTAAAGATGAAGCATTTGTAAGACATGGGAGTTAAATAAAGTATTACCTCCTTCAAATAACAATCCTCCTTTGAAGTTTCAATATTGTGGTCCAAATAGAACTTAAGTTATAGTCCAGAAACTGTTTTCAATTCTAAGGTTAAAGTGACCTTGACCTTGTGACCCCAAAATCAATAGGGGTCTTCTACCCAATATGGACAATCATCCTATGAAGTTTGAATATTGTGGGCCAAATGGAACTTAAGTTATGCTCAAGAAACTGTTTTCAATTTCTAAGTAATAGTGACCTTGACCTTTGACCTTGTGACCCCAAAATCAATAGGGGTCTTAAACCCAATATGGACAATCATCCTATGAAGTTTGAACACTGTTGGCCAAATGGAACTCAAGTTATGCTCCGGAAACTGTTTTTAGTTTTAAGTTAATAGTGGCCTTTACCTTTGACCTTGTGACCCCGAAATCAATAGGGGTCTTCTACCCAATATGAACAATCATCCTATGAAGTTTGAACACTGTGGGCCAAATGGAACTTAAGTTATGCTCCGGAAACTGTTAGTTCTAAGGTAATAGTGACATTGACCTTTGACCTTGTGACCCCAAAATCAATAGGGGTCTTCTACCCAATATGGACAATCATCCTATGAAGTTTGAACACTGTTGGCCAAATGGAACTTAAGTTATGCTCCGGAAACTGTTTTCAGTTTTAAGGTCATAGTGGCCTTGACCTTTGACCTTGTGACCCCAAAACAAAAGGGGTCTTCTTCACAATATGGACAAGCATCCTATGAAGTTTGAACACTGTATGCCAAATGGAACTAAAGTTATGCTCCAGAAACTGTTTTCAGTTTTAAGGTTATTGTGGCCTTGACCTTTGACCTTGTGACCCCAAAATCAATAGGGGTCTTCTACCCAGTATGGACAATCATCCTATGAAGTTTGAACACTGTGGGCCAAATGAACCTTAAGTTATGCTCCGGAAACTGTTTTCAGTTCTAAGGTAATAGTGAACTTGACCTTTGACCTTGTGACCCCAAAATCAATAGGGGTCTTTTACCCAATATGAACAATCATCCTATGAAGTTTGAACACTGTAGGCCAAATGGAACTTAAGTTATGCTCCGGAAACTGTTTACAGTTTTAAGGTCATAGTGGCCTTGACCTTTGACCTTGTGACCCCAAAATCAATAGGGGTCTTCTACCCAATATGGACAATCATCCTATGAAGTCTGAACACTGTAGGCAAAATGGAACTTAAGTTATGCTCCGGAAATTGTTTTCAATTTTAAGGTCATAGTGGCCATGACCTTTGACCTTATGACCCCAAAATCAATAGGGGTCTTCTACTCAATATGGACAATCATCCTATGAAGTTTGAATATTGTGGGCCAAATGGAACTTAAGTTTTGCTCCGGAAACCAAATTGGTAACAGACGGACGGACAGACGGACGGACGGACGGACGTCAGGGGGTATAACATAATATGTCCGAAATTCTTTCGGGCATATTAAAAAGAGCAACAACATCAATAATGTAAAACGCAGACATAACACGGCTTAGTTTCTCTACTATCACATTCATTTACCTGGTAAGATTGTAAATTATGTCTTGTATGTTCGATCAACATGAATAGTATAAAAATATTGCAGTTTTGATTTGATCAGTCGAGACTGTATAATTTAAATGAAGGCTACCTTTAACATCTAAAGCAAATATTCCACCTTATAACACAATTGTTAGATAGCTGAGTGTGACGAAGATAATAAAATAAAGAAAAGAACAATGTTACATAGGAAAGCGATAATACGAAAACACTTCATCTATTGATAAAAGGACAGAAACATGAAATAAACCAACCACGTATGAACGGAGCACGTGTAAATGCATGCATTGAAACATAATGAACAATAATAATGTTAATGTAAATAATCATTTTAACACGCTTCACATTATTCCCCCATCAAACAAATAGGGCTGTCGAGTGTATTATAACACAATATATAGAAGACATAAAAAGGAACACATACACGTGGTACGTGTATGAAGTCAGATATGACGTCAATAAACCAAATGATGTCAAGAAATTTTCATTTTTGCATAACATAGTTCAAAATATTTTTTACCAATTTTTTTCTTCTCTTTTTTTAGGCATGACTTGTAAGAATGGAAATAGATATTCAACCGTTGTAATATAATAATGCATGATTAATTATTCAAATTATTTTAAATTCTCGAAGGCCGATAAGCCTGAGCGATTATCTTTCTCGAACCGTTCATTATCCTACAACAACGCATTCAAACTTGATATCAATTTCTTAAACAAACTAACTTAAAACCAAAAATTATTCATTAAAAAGCAGAATTCTTATCTAATCAAGCAACAAATATTTCAATATTCTAAATACTCTATATGCAATCCTTTTTCAAAACCGTTTATCCTAGACCAGATAATATAGATTTTCTTTTTAAAATTAAATATGAATCACCGAAAGATTTGCTTAAATGTAAAGTAGTTTTAATTGAATCACAGATATATTATTACTATTATTATTATTATTATTATTATCGACGGATCGCAATTGATTTTATTCAGATAAATACTGCAAAAATCAATTCTTGAAAGATATTTTTTACGTTTTAAACTTCGTTGAAATGTGATTTTCATACTTATTTTTTCTAGGCTTGTGAAGAATTATTTTAGTAAAAAGAACGCCACTTGTTTGTTAATAGGTGCCAAGAGAACAATGTTTACAAACCGGGTGGTGATTTGAAAACAAATTGTATATTTGATATTTTACCATATTAATTAAAGCATATAATGTGTTTTGAAATGTTTGTACATAGCCTGAGCTAGCTATATTTAAAAGAGATATCGTTAAAAGAATTATCGTATATGTATTCTTTAGATAATGAAAATTTACACTCGTGTTCGGAGTCTTTACACTAAATAGTATACAGGGAACATGATCGAAACGTTTCGTTGAGTTAATGTACTTTAACGCACCATATCTCTATAAAAGCGAGAAGGAAAAAAGAACAAACGAGCACAAATATTTCAAACTGACATTGACTTGTAAATATTGCATTCACCATATCAAATCATTAAATGCTTCGCACAAAAATTGCATAGTCACCTTAGAAAACATTTTATTAATTTAAAAACAAATCAGAGATGAACACCCGAAAAATATGGATAGTTTAACGTCACAAAGATTGGAATGTTTCATTGATTAAGTGCGTAATATATGAATGACGTGAAACCAGCCCATCGTATTAAAAACCAATGAACACTGTGATACAAGTGTATAAATATCGCTTTGCAGCAGACGATAAATTACAGTTTACGTATCAATAGACGCAAATACACACACACACAGGATGAATCGCGCGTTCGTTTCAGTTGTGATATTTTTATCATTACACTTGTCACGAGCTACACCTCTTGGTCATGTAACATCAAAGGATAATGGAAAAATATTTTTTAAAAGAACATTAGTTAATTACCAGGATGAAATTACGTCATTAAAAAACAATATTGCCGCTTTAGAAGAGAGAGTTACTAAATTAGAGACGGGAAAAGCTTCTCATGTTATGTTATCGAATCAAGTTGAAAATATTGGCAGTGGAATCGACGAGAATCATAAAATAAGTAAAAGGGGTAAGTTTTAGAACAATATGAATTTCATCTGCTATTTTTAGATAAAATCATTAAAAGCCATATATGTTGTTTTTTCTCAATGTTTGTACGTATCATTTCGCAATTCAAATTTTCATTATAACTACACACTTGAATAATAACAAAAAGAGCTAGTTTACTTTTGTAATTAATAAAAATATAAACAGAGAAACAACTGTTTTTTTTAATTGCCTACAATGTTTATATCACAATATCGTATACAATATATACTAAAAGCATTTATTTTATTTTCAGCAATTTATCGCCGAAGAAAAATTTTCAGACGAGAAGTTGCATTTCATGCGACACTTACGAAACCCTCTGCTACGGTTAAAATGTTAGAAAATATAGTCTTCAGCAATGTCATAACAAACATCGGCCACGCATACAACCATCATACTGGGGTATTCACTGCACCTATACATGGAACTTATACGTTTAACACAAACATTGTTGCAGAAAGAGGACATTATATTGAAGCAAGTATTGTCCGTAATGGTGAAGTGGCTGTTTCAGCAATCAGTGATCATAGATTTTCACAAGATGGAAAGCATTTTACCACGTGGGATCAAGGAAACGCAGTCGCGATTTTAAGATTAAATAAAGGGGACAAAGTGGCCGTGGCATTACAATGGCCTGAGGGAAGCCATGCTATACACGGTAGAGGAAAATCAAGTTTCTCTGGATATCTACTGAGATAGGACAAACTGTAATTTGAAGTTTATCATGACTATAGATATGCCCGATTTATACACGGACGTTATCGGTTAGACAGCAAAAAGGTTAAAGAACACCATGTGGGACAATTAGACACTATAACAATCGGTGGTACGGAGAGAACGTCTAATTATTTATAGATATTGATCCAGATATCAAAAAATGAAACGGGGATAAAAAGAAAGCGATCTTATAGACAACTGTTCGGGATAGATGGTTGTTAAGATACGTACCAAGCTTACAAAATATACAAACAAAAAATGACTAAAAAGTTTAAATGAATAAAGATAATATAGAGAATAGAATCCAGTATGTTAAAATCAGTACAAGCAAAATTTAGTGAATATTACATTAGATGTTCTAAATGTGAAAAGATGCATTCGACTGACATTTGATTTATTCAGCAATAGAACGTATTTATCATTTTAGCAATTTATGTTTATTGTGATATTCATTTTATAGTTTAATAGTCATTTTATTTTAAAGATCTCGAATGTTTTCTATATGGTATTTATATACATTTATTTATCACTATTATAAACCTGTGCAATAATATATTATTGTTGATATTGCATGCATCGTTTAATACAGTAGTGTACATTGTATAATGTTATAGTGTTTTTGGCATACCTATATAGTACTTTAATGCGTTACGTGCCAAACTATTTTAGTGCAGTTGATATACTAGTAATTGCTTTGATTTATACATAATTTAATGAGTTATATTTGAATAAGCTTTTATTTAATGACAGGATTCTGAATTTTATTTTATTTGTTAGTTTAACATATTCTGTATAATAAATGACTCATTTAGATTAACGTATATGTTTGTGTTATATTCTAAATCATGTCAGAACATAATAGTTTGTATAACGATCTGCCGGAATAACTTGTGAGTTCATGATCATTGTGTTGCGTTAGTAATCAATATAATTTCTAGTTTTTAAAACGTGCATTGAGATTTTTTTGTTTCTGTAAACAATGTTTGTTGAGTGTAGATGTTTTACTAAATTTATTGAACGAATTGAATAATTTTGTTTTCAATGCGTTCAATTAATTTAGTATTGAATCTACACGATAATGTTCTATTTGTAACATATCTAAAATAAAAGTGTTTTACTGTTAAAAAGAGTCATTCTTTCTTGACCTGCCTATATTGTAACTCTAACATTTCTAACTAGCACGCCTTAACGCTATGTTTTTTATATATAACGCAAATGACGTCACGTCGAAGTGTTATTACACTAAGTCTAATGTAATATCATTTTTATTAAATACAGGATATTGAATGAGTGTAGTTTCAATACTGAATGTATTGAACGAGTTGAATAAGATTATATTCTGAGCCTCTGTGAGCAAAATATTATTTATTTGAACGAGTTCAATAAATTCAGTAATGAATCTACACGAATATTATATTCTATCTATAAAATAACCAAAATTAAGTCTGTTTAGTATGCGGAGGAATAATTTTTCATTGACGCGCCCATAGCGTATCTGATAAATAGGTTTATTATATACTTATAAATGAAATATTGAGAAATATTGATGAAATAAAATGCGTAATTTTCATTTTTCGTATTTTCACCACAAAAAATCAATTTTCACTGTAGTAAAACATATTTTCCCTACTTTAACTGGTGTCTTGCCGGTCTACTTTTCTTCTTAATTCAGCCAATACACAAAATTTAAAGGAAATTCTTTCATAAGGTTAAAAAAGAGAAAAATTACATAAAAAAGCAACAGAAAATTCAAGTTTATTTTTATTTCATGTAATACACTGGTTTATGTAATAAATATAACATGAAATATGATAAACAAGATCGACAAGGAAAGGCGGCATTCAATGAACGCAGCCCCCACCCGACCCAGCAACAAGCGCCAGCGGCAAGGAGCCCAGGAGGACCCCAAAGAAAAACAGGACAGGGCACAAGGCAGAGCACGGGCAGGCAAACCACCACATCAGAATACATAATAAGTAACTTATAAGGAAATAAAACAAAACAAATAAATGATTTAATATAAGGCCCACAATGTCAAAAGGCACAGGGGAAGGGGACATGAGACACGGGGAAGGGGGGGGGGAATAAAATAAATATAAACCAGGGACAAAGGGAAGATACTTACCGTAGACGAGAAACAACAAGAGACACGAGCAAAAGTGTCACCAAAACAGTATAAAACAACATAGACATACATCTGAGGAACACAGAGGGGCGCCGCCTTGGAACGGTCAGCAGCATAATAATGACTACTGGGGAGTTTAAACCGGTTAATGGTGCACCAAACCTCGCTCTTAGCCCCACCATGTTCCTATAAACGAGACAGTGTAAATAAAATGAATCCCCGCCAAGTGAAATTCTAACAGTTGTTATGGTTACAAAAGGTTAAATAAGTAAAACACCAAAATGATCATGTAGAAACATATAAAAGTAAACCCAATGACCACAACAAAAGTACTCGATGTCTTAAAGGAAGACAGAGCAACAAGAAAATCATCTACAAGGGCCCGACGAAGCAAGACAGAAGACAAACATTAAGGCAATTCAGTCCCAAAGGGCTTTAAGAACTGTCCATCATATAGTCTCCCACTTGGCCCGTCAGATGTAATCAAAAGAGGAAAGCGTAGTGTCCAACTGTAAATGGGTTGAACACTAAGCATGCGGTATGTCTTAAAATAGTAGGGTCATAACCCCTTTTAATAAAACGTTTTATAATTTTAGTAAACACAACAGAAAAATTACAATGACCCAAGATCTTACGAAGTTTGTAAACCACATCACCGTAAAAAATCAGGCTGGCTAATCAGTTTCGGTTAAAATTGTCATTTTATGGATCCACAGTTTAATTTATAGGAACAGAAAAGAACATTTATTTTATTAGATTTGTACCATAGGTACATCTTCGTACCATATTTACAAAATTGACATACAGTATACATACAAAAAGACGGCCGAAGTAATAGTAAACATTTTTAAAGATGAATAATAATTGTGTGCAAGAAACTCATGGATTTTTTATACCAAAATTCTAGACAATAATTTATAAATTTCTAGGACAGAATCTTAATGTTTTATAAGTATATTTTTAAAGATCTATTGCCACTTTTTACTGTCCAATCATGAAATGTAATAAAATAAATGAATAGGGAAAGCTGATAAACAGTATTTGATGCAGGTTTTGTGGGATATTTTCCCTACTATTTTCTGTCAAGATTCAAGATAAAAATGTTGTTCAAAGTATTTACCCAAAACAAGTTAGTCTGTTCGTCGTAGGTGATACATTATTTTATGACGCGTATTCACCATTAACTATCCAATGCATATGACGATGACCAATTGCAAGTGTTCAGCAAAAAACATAGGGAAAATTATTTTTATTATTGATATCATAAAGCATTATGTAAATATATGGGAAGTCCTTAAACTTTAATCTTGTCATAAGGATAACAACATATGACTTTCGATTTAATATTTTCCCTTGTTTAAAACATTTATTTTGCTGTAAAAGTTATTGGTAAAGAATATTTGCGATAGAATATTGAATACTTAGGAAAAACTTAAAAAACGAACAGGACATGATAACATGCTTTTAACTATTGGCTTGTACCGCAATGTGCCTTCTATAAAACAAGTTTTTGCGTCTACACGAATCTTATATTTTAATCTTTTAATAGCATATATGAATATACCTATTCAACATTTGTCCACCTAGTTGATAAGCCGTATTATTCTTTAAGTGGAAGACATTTGAATATAGGATGGTCAGCAATTTATGATATATTTGATTGTATTTTAAATAATACAATTGAAAGGATGCTGACAAAATAGACAGTGTATGTGCGAGGTCATCTCTAAATATATGAACGATTGCAGTTAAATCTTTTGAATGGAACATATTATTCTGATTTCATTTTAAGTGCGTTAACAAAGGTATTATTTACTTTGCTACTAATGCTCACATGTACCTCCACTATAACTATAAACATTTATTATTATTATTTTCTAATTATTCATATAATTTAAATAACTATATACGGACAAATGAACCGCCTAACAATAACTTCTATAAATAGATTTGATCACGTGACAAAAAGAACCGTCAAAACTGTACCTTAGTTGAAAAATTCTGATATATCTGTACCCTGATGAAGGCTATTGAATAGCCGAAACGTAGGTCTAAAATAAAATTATAGAAACCTGACCCACTTTGTTTCGTGTGTTTCACTTTCCTTATCCTTTTTATTAGTTTACTGTTGTGAAACAAGCATCCCGTTTGGGATCCGATCTCTGTGGGAATCGATAAACGGTTCTACGTAATCGGTGTGAGAGGTTGGTCCAGCTTACAACTTACCTCTAAGTATCCAGTCTTGGATCCACCGGCCAAAGCACCATAATCGCCCTTTGATAGGGACCCGTGCTTCGAAACCTACACATTACGTTATGTCGGATGAAAATCTCTACGAAAAAGCTACTACTACACCGCCTATATCCATAGCAACATTTCCGGGACAGTCTAACAACCCCACCAAAAAACGGAAAGCGGACGACAACGACTCAACTCCTGGCCGTATAGAACAAGAAAACCTCTCGAAATTCAAAGTTCTAAAAAAACTGAATATACAACTTAGACAGACCCATCATCACCTAGATTACTTCGAAAGGTGTGTTCTCACCAAATCAAATGTAATATTATTCATGCACGAATTTGAACAAAAATACCTAAAAACGTACACAAATACACCATCGATCTGGTGGCGCTACATAGACGAAATCCTTTTGATATGGCCACACTCTCGACAGGAGTTGAGCTCCTTCATCATGGCCTTAAACAGTCAACACAACACAATAAAATTTACCTCTTACATCAGCGATAAAGAGATCCACTTCCTGGACGTAACTGACAGAAAAAATACCTACGGGAACTTATCTACCACACTAAACCTACTAATGCTCACATGTACCTCCACTATAACTAATATGAAATTAGGCAAAGCCTATGAACGGGGAAGTCGGTAAAAAATCCTTTCATTTTTCCGTTTAAAGGTGTCATTCGGTATTATATGTACCCACTTCCGTTTTCACTCGGAACACTCGACGATTATTATTAATCCGAAAAGTTGAGATTTGTTCCGTAATCGGAATACACCGCCTTTTATCATTGAGTTACATTGTAAATGGCGGCGCCTAACTAGAACTGACACTGAAAATTTCATTGATAGGTATATAATTCTATATATTTTTTTTTTTTTAATTTGAATTTTCTTTTAAATATACACGTGTAGTCTATAGCCGGGCAAGCCAAAGCCCGGGCCCGCTTTGCGGGCCCGGACTTTGACTTCCCCGTATAAACATTTATTATTATTATTTTCTAATTATTCATATAATTTAAATAACTATATACGGACAAATGAACCGCCTAACAATAACTTCTATAAATAGATTTGATCACGTGACAAAAAGAACCGTCAAAACTGTACCTTAGTTGAAAAATTCTGATATATCTGTACCCTGATGAAGGCTATTGAATAGCCGAAACGTAGGTCTAAAATAAAATTATAGAAACCTGACCCACTTTGTTTCGTGTGTTTCGCTTTCCTTATTCTTTTTATAAAGGTATTATTTGTGAAAGTTTATCTTGATATGATCATAAAAATATGATAACAGCATGACTATACATTTTACAAATTTAACCAATGTCACCAATTTATGACATAAAATAGGAAAGAATGATATAATATTTTACTGAAAATTGCTTGCACTTTTAACAATGTTGATGTACTTTAAACGTTCTATTTAATTGCATTTCAAACAAACGATGGACTAGGGAGTGACTTCAATATTGGCTCGTAAACTCATGTAACAAGTCACGAAAATCCGTAATTGATTACCTTGTAAAAAAAAAGTAATTTTCCAAATATTTGAAATTTTATCGTATATTCTATAAACGAATGGGGTGACCATATTTCTGTTATTTTTTCACCATTTTGGAACAATACTCACCCGGTTGTAAATAGTAATGTTTTTGTA